TTGGTCAAAACCCGCAGGAGCACAACTAGTTTAAAAATCAGTAATTGCCGTAAAATTCTTCGGGAGAAAATTGAATTTGAATATTACATTTTCAATGTTTTTCTTATTACAGTGAAATGTATTTTATTAAATAACTCTGCGAGTTTTCAACATTTTTCGTTCAAACTTGGTCAGTTAGTAGAACTAGTCTAGTGCTTTCATGGAAACCAATAAAAAAATTTTAGGCAAAATTAACCCTCAAAGGTGTTCTGTAACCTTAAATGTAAAGTAGAAAATTGTGAGACACAATGGGTCTCCTTTTTGAACAAATCATTAAATTGGTCTTCAGTAAAATAATCACAGTTTTTATTCAGGTCAGCGAAAAAATACGAATCTGGATCGTAATCTTTCATTAGTTTACGTTGGTTTGTATTAGAAAGTAAAGGATTATAACTCAAACTGTTTAATCTGTCATTACCGAAATTGATCGGGCCGTTTTGCATCTCAAACATTGCTAAGTTAAAACTATCATTATCTAGATCGTAAAAGGGTAGATCTCTGCTATCATCCAGTGGTGCAGCCATATTTTACCAATAATATAAAAGTAATTTAATATTGCAAGAATAAAATTAGGGTACTTAGCCAAATGAAGTTGACATGTTTGCTTTGAAATCATCAAGTTCCTTAATCGGGGCGAATGATGTTACACGAGAAGTATCGTCCTTCTTTAAATAGGATTTACCATATTTTGTCCAAGTGTATTTAAACCGATGGAATTTTCGAACTTGTCTTACTTGGTAGTACAATTCTCTGGCTTTCAGCGTAAGGCTTTCAGCGTAAGGCTTTCGTTGACATATAACTTATTATCAGGACATGCAAAACTGAGATTGGACAAACTACGATTTTTTAACTTTCCCTTCAATTTGTAGAGTTTGTCTCTAATGCTTCTTCTTGCGAACTTTGCAGTAAGGCAAGCGATGGCTCATCGAGATATCCGATCGTTTAACTTCAACTGCCATTAAATCACCGATTTGCTTGACCAGTTTGTCTGTATTTTTGTCCGGCGTCTCTGGTACTCCATGAAACTCTAAACAGTCTCTTCAAGAATATAGATTGATATTTTCTTGATCTTCTTCTAGTTTAGATATTCGATTCGTCATTTCTTTAGCCAAGATATTTAACTGGGCATTTTCAAGCTTCAGATGGCTGTTCTCTTCTTTTAACAAGCTGAATGCATTTAATAGTTGCATCGAACTTATTGCTAATAAAATCTTGGCTTTATTGAATCGCTTTAAGTTCATCATGAGTGGCTTTATAGTGTTTAGAAACAGCATTGTCAAGCTCTTTCGTATGGGTCTTTAGCCATTTGTCTAGCATCGAAAGTTGCGATTGAAAGTATGGTGTTCGATGTCGCAATCTCAGATATCTCGCTCTTTGCTTCTTCCGACGGTTGTTGTGCTGGCTTTTTCTTGGGAGGCATACTATAATCGGCAGATTACTATCGCCTATAATACATATCTATTCTCAGTGAGTCAATGTAATTTAGAATAAAGATAATAATTCAACTTTTTCAGGAGCTCTATTAGGCACACCCGTCTGCTATGCACGTCACAAAACAAGTAGTAGTAGTACCACTTAGTACCACTTAACACCTGAGCAGCCAGATTGATCCTTGAAGATGTGGTCTGGTGTGATCTTTGGAAGCTAGTGTAAACCTTGGTCTAAATCTGCATAATACAGAGCAGAAATATGCCTCCAAATCATATTACAACCATTCCACATCAACCTGCAATGTTTTTCTGTCCTTGATGAGATGGTGGGGCATCAGAGAAGAAGTAAATGTACCTTGATGGTGCAAACAGGTTGATGGTGATGAATAACATCAACAGTAGTTTTCCCCAAGGGAAAGGCACCATCGCTTACAGCTGCACAAGTTCCCTCCAGGATGGAAACAGCTTTCCAGAAAAGTGGCATTATGAGGTGAGGCTTTGTGTACTAAAATATCCAAGGGTATACTAGCAACACCTCTTACAATAAATGCTAGAACATGAGTTGTCAATGTGGTGGGGGTATCAAAGACTGCAGTATTGACATCTTTATCACCCAGATCTACAAAGCCAATTAGCTCATTGACATGCATATAACATGCCCTAAATGACATGCATACAAACTCATATACAGGTCCTAGACTATGTGCCCAAATTTGCATAAACAGTTTGTCTAAAAAGATTAGACTAAATTCAACCAACTTTAATGCAGTCGAATTTTGTGAGTATTTGATAGCATATTTGTACTTAAAAATACCGTTAAAAATATCGTATCGGCTCACTTGTGCTCTGTGTTCATATTTCTTGTGATTTCCAACTTCTATTTTCGATAAAGTTTGGAGAAATGTTAATCTTTTTGGCCGAAAATCTTGCGCATGGGTTCACAGAAGAATTTGATCCAAAACATTGATACATATGCTTTCATTTCGTGTTTTGCTTTTAAAACCTGCTGTGAATTCCCTTTTTGCAACAGTATCGCCGTTATTTAATTATTTTGAGAAACTAAAATTTTAAACTTGAAAAACTGCAAGCTTTTGACCGATTTTCTCACATGATACAACGTTGCAAAGCTCGAATTTCACGTTCTACTTTCGTATCTGTTGCTAGGCAAACCGCAAAGTGGTTAGCGCACTTGCATTTCACTTGTAAGGTTGCAGGTTCAAATCTCAGTGAGAACTTTCTGAATGTGACTCAACCCAGTCCTCATGTGAAAAGAGTAGAAGCTGGAAGTCATGGGTTTTCTCCAGGTACTCCGGTTTCCTCCCACAGGGAAAGTTGACAGGATGGGTTAGGTAAAAGGGCCCACAGTAATTGGCATATGCTTTTGTGGTGACCCTGCCCTAGTTGGCAAAGCAAACAACATGCTCAAAATTGTCAATTCAGGGCGCATTGCCACCTCCCAATTAGCCCGCATGCAGGCCCAAGGGAAGAATAGTGGGCCTGCAAGCAAGACCCGGTATTTTGTAAAACGCCTCTTTTCATAACACGCCCCATTCGTGTATCAATTGTCAAAAAAGAACCAATGACAGCAACCCAAATATTAACAAACAAACTCGCATTAAAATGTTGCGGGGTTTTCTCTGCTTATTCAGAACAGAAACAATGTGTAACCTTTACTTGAGTTTCATTAATTTCAAACCGACTTGATACATTATATGTTCCTCAAGAAAATTATCTTTTGGTAGATGTTGACTCAGCGCTTTTTGCAGTGAAGATTTAGAGGCAGTTGCATGTAAGCCTATTTGAAACACTTTGCGATTTGCAAGGCTTCGCTGAGAGAGCAAAACAGAAGATGGTAATTACCGTTTGAAACGACTCTGAACGCTCTCTTCTTTTGTAGAGTTCTTTATCAAATGAAATAACTGAAATAAATTTCGTACTTTCTGCTGCCAACAAGAACTGCACACACGATCTGATAAGCGAGACAATTTATTTATAACAATGGCAACAGCGAAGCACACATTAATGCTGTGGTCGCACAACTTCCCTCACGATTTGAAGTTTGAGACAGGTTTTCTGTTGAAATTCGTCCTAATTTGTCTGTTCCGATTTTAGTTGAAAAGGAGCACTGAATTTGGCAATTACTGTCTGTGTTGCTTGCTTTTTGGAGTTAAAACGCAGCCATTTACTATACTATAGTTTACCCCAGTCGTAATGTTGCTATTCCAACACTTCACAACAAGCAATCCCCAAATGGCATAATGGCAAAAACATATCTTCCTTCAAGTAAACAATAAACAGACGGTTCTTGTTCCATTTTTAAAAGAAAAAACTCAAAAAAAGTGATAAATTTTGTGATGAATCACTGATCTAATTAGTATAGAATTCAACAGCAAGCAGCCAATCAGAATGCTGTGTTCGTGGGCGAACGTGGAAAGTACAATATACCAGGTTTTGCTTGCAGGCCCACTATTCTTCCCTTGGGCCTGCACACAGGCTACCTCCCAATCTTAGGGCGCATCCGGGTGCATTGTCACTTAACTCATGAGTTAAAAGATATTTTAATAAGTGTAGGTTTTTTGATAAATTTCTAATTAGAATGCATTCTATTAGAATGCATAACAAAAATGAATTTAAATTATTTTGTGATAATTTTTTTGTAATAATTCAACAAAAGCATTGACCTTATAGGTTATAGGTGCTGGGCATCACTCTGGGGAAACGGAATGCCCGGATATTTGGTTAGTTGTTCTTGCTAAAATCGCAACACTGAATTAGCGTGGGGTCCTTAGTTGCAATTAGAAATAAAATCGCAGAATATGTCAAAAATTTGATACTTTTTAAATTGAAATCAATTGAAAAAGATTGATTTTCTTGTGCTAAAAGTTACAGAGTAAATATATATGCGGTGTATATAAACTAAGCATTTTTATGCATTTTATATAGTCACGAAATGGTGTCGAGATGTGCAAGAAGGCTACTGACAGAGGTTTAGAGGATGACAGTTGACCTGTTGTATTTTTTTATTATTTTTGTAAGTTATAATGCTCTAGATTATTTCATACTGTTACATAGTTTCTATATTAAAGTATCTAGAATGTTTGATGTGCCACTGTGGACCTGTGACTGGTTAACCTATTTTGTTTCTTAAATACTTTGGTGCCTTCATGTATTGATATTTAAAATAACTATCAAAATACTTCCCTCTGTATCATTCTCATATTATTCTGACACTGCAATCAACCAACGAAAAATTTGTTGGCTTGAGCAGGATTTGAACTCGCATCTTCGGATATCTAGACCACCACTCTACCCATTGAGCTATTGAGTCAACTTGGATTGGTAGCGAGTCTTGTCCAATTTAAGTGCACAAAAATATTTTCGTGATGACTTTACATTGGTCCTAGAGGACTCAGTGTTTCAATTCTATTTCAGAGCCATCTGTCAAATACAGAAACGGACAGCGCCAATGCAGATGGTAGCAAAAGAAAACGGCAATCAACAAGCACAAATCCTCCATCGTTTTCAGCATACATGAAGCAGAAGGAGACAGAGTCTGATTTTAAGCCAAATAAAAAGAAGGGCTGCATGGGAGAAACACAAACCAAAGCTAAAGATGAAGTTATTAACGTTAGCTTGATGGCATATGAATATGGCGAGGCCAAAATCCAGCGTAGCAAGTCATTTCCTGTAAAATTGTCCAAAGATATGGGTTATGATGAGGTAAGAGAGAGAGCGTTGAAAAAGTGGGAGGATTACGACAGAAATTTTTCCAGAGATCATGGATACGTCGTAACTTTTCAAGATGGAAAATTGGCAAAACAGATACCTGGCAGCTCAGAGGAATTCATGCTGAGAAAATACAAAGAAGGGCTTGGCAAGAGCTATGGCAGAATAGTCATGTACCTTTGCCCTGTGACGGAAAAGAAGTCAAGAGAGTACAATGCCAATAACAAACTGGTTAAGTGAAACATAGTTGGACAACACCCATATTCTCTAACAGCATTTAGAAAGGGTTGTCCAGTGATGGCTGGATCATTGTTTGTCCTACAAACCTTTAACCACAGCACTTTGTGACTGTAACCATCTATGCATCCATGCACAGGAAAACCATAAGGTTTCAGTTTATCATATCCATCAACATGCCATGAATGGTTAGGGCCTGGTGTGTGATAAACTCAACGACAAAGGGTCTTAGATCTTCTTTCTGACACACCTTCAGGGTCAAGTTCCTTAAGGACTAGACAAACAACTTCTCTTGGTACCTGAATACCTTCCATTTTTAATGTGTGCCAGACAGCGCAGTACCCACCAGAGGCAACCATGACCGTCCAGTATGCAATGTTCTTAAAGACATTTCAATGCCATGGTATTTCGATAAAAATGATAGAATTTTCTGATAATTGAACCCTCTCTTGAAGTAACATTGTATAAGTTCCTCACACGTGGGAATTTCGGGTGGAAATTGATCCATTTTTCCAAAATATACCTCAATTTTTTAGTGCACAACAAACAGAGCTCTGTGAATTTTCATTGTTGCACATTTTCACAATGGCAAAATGGATAAATGTGTATAACAGGGGTGTTCGCAAAATGTTCCTACATGATCCCTAATGTTCGCAGATGCAACATTTTGTTGTGTATTGAGAATAAAATATATTTGCGTATCGAGTTTTCCTATTCACGTTTCGCACGAAATTTAGTCAGATGTGCACTGAAACGTATTTACGTGAACCTATACTTCGAATTGTGTATTGAATATTTTGTTTGTGGATTACAACTCTTGTTTGTGCACTAATATTTTGTTTTGTGTACTAATATTTTGTTTTGTGTATTGCACATAGGGGCTACCGTACAAAGAAACTACAATCGTTGACAATATGGATTGGGACAATCTTGTTTTCGCATTCGGTTATAATATACCATTTACTGACACATTTTCACAGATATAACAGTGATTTTGGAATATCCTACGTACTTAGTGTAATTTAATACTCGAAGTATTCTTGCCAAAAAGGGCACGTACGCACACAGTAATTTAATCTGGTGTCGTTTGAAACATACTTTAGCTAAAATAACAACTTGAACAAGAAGACCAACAATGGGGTTACGAAAAC